GGTGGAACAGTGGTTACGACTCCACGTTTCCAATACAGGAGGTGCAGGTTTGATCCCTGATCAGGGAACTGAGATCCTACTTGCTGGGTGGCATGGGCAAAAAACAAACAAAAATAAAAACCCTTAAAACAAACAAAACAGAGAGAAAACACTCCTGGATGAACCGGGCTGCCTGAGGTTACAAGTTCAAAGTCTGACTCCGTCCCCTCCCTGGCTGGGATTCCTTCCATGAGTCCCAGTTTCTTCATCCAAAAACTGGAAGTGTTTGTTCCTGTGCCCTGAAGGGTTTGGGGGGAAGTCAGTAAGGCCGCGTGTGCAAAGGGCCTGGCGTGCTGCCAGGCAGAGAATGAGCTACAACAGCCTCAAGGTTACTTGAGAGGCTGGGACTGGCTTAGGTTGGAGGGAGTTGCGTTAGGTTTCTCAGCAGAGGGGATCGCTGTGTTGGACCTCAAAGCACGGAGCACTATTCACTAGGTGGAGAAGGATGGGAAAGGCACTTAGGCAGAGACAGCGAATGTTTGAGTCGGGAGACACGCACGAGGCATTGGAGAAAGGCGAGCTGTTCAGAGTATTGTTTGAAGGTGAAGTGGCGTGTGTTAGGGAAAGGGAGGTGGGGCAAGAGATGGAGTTGAATAAAGCAGCAGGCCACAGAAGGCCACGGAAGGCCTTGCAGATCACAGGACAAGAGCAATGGGGAGCCACAGCAGGCTCTGAGCAGGGGAGAGACCTGAAAAGAGCGGGTTGGTGGTTTAGTAAAATCCTTGCAGGTGGGAAGGGGCAGATCCAGGACAGGAAACCAGGGATGAGTGTAGATATGAAGGAAGAAGTGGGGAAAGGGGGCCAAGGAGGCAGCTGGGTCAGAGTGAGGAGGAGGAGGAAGGAGAACACATAAAATCTTTAAAAGATAGAATGGAGAGAGGAATTCTCTGGTGGTCCATTTGTTAGGAGTTGGCCTGCCAATGCTGGGGACACAGTTACCCCTGGTCTGGAAAGACCCCACATGCCACAGGACACCGAGTCTGCCACAGCTGCCAAGCCCACGTGCTGCAACTACTGAAGCCGGTGCGCCCGACAGCCTGTGCTCTGCAACAGGAGAAGTTACCGCAGTGAGAAACCTGTGCACGGAAACGAAAGACTTTGCTGCAACTAAAGAAAGCCCGAGCACAGCAATGAAGACCCAGAGCAGTCCAAAAAAAAAAAAAGAATAGAGGAATTCCCTGGCGGTTCAGTGGTTAGGAATTCTGAGTTTCCATTGCAAGGGGCACAGGTTTGATCCTTGATTGGGGAACTAAGGTCCTACAGGCTGCACAGTGTGGGGGGAAAAAAAGAATGGAGATGAGTGATGGGCTATGGGAGGTAAGGGGAGGGAGGCACCAACAGGACTCTGGTCCAAGAGACAGGGTCTAGGTGGGACTAAGTGGAAGCTGGGGGCCTGGGAGAAGGAACCACAGGCGTAGGAGGAAGATATTGAGGACAGGGTGAAATTCTGTGGGACAACCAGGGGGAGGCATCCAAGAAGCTTCTAGATACATGGGTCTGGAGTGCAGGAGAGATGGCGAAGCAGAGGCTGGGAGGCAGGCAGAGCTCAGACAAGGCTGAAATCCTGACAGTGGGAGAAAGTGGGGGGTGTCGTAGGGTAAACCCATCATCAGCCAGTGATGAAAGTGGAAAGCAGTCCTTCCCAGAACAGTAGGCTCGGAGTTGGGTTCTCATTCTGGTCTATACCTGGGGACAGGAAGATGAGCAGACCCAGAGCCACCACAGGAGTGCCTGCCCGATGAGGGGTGGGGGCTCAGGTGTATACAAGCAGTCCATGCCTCCATGGGTGTGTGTGTGAGTGTGTGTGTGTGTTTAATGAATGGGTACTTCAGGGGGTACAGTTATCCACTGCCAAGGACTAGAGGTGGTGGAAAGTTCCTGGTTGTGGGGGTGGTTAGAAAGCAAAAGTGAATTAATTAGGAGTCTCTCAGTTTCAAATGCAAACTGGCTCAGGGAAGTGTATTGGCTCACGTTTTCAAAAGGTCAAGGAGTAAAACCAGCTTCAGTCACAGCTTGATCCAGGAGCGTAAACAATGATATAAAGTCACTGTCCCATATCTGGGTTTCTTATTTCTCTGGTTTTCTCCTCAGGAAGACATTCCTTGAAGTAGCAAAGACAGCCCTAACAGCTTTACGCTCATATCTTATCCTCTTAGCCACCCCAGAGGGGAGAAAGGGCTCCTGCTCAAGGGTTCATTATTCATTGTCTTAAATGGGTCACATATTCACCTCTGACCCAATCACTGTTCTCAGAGGCCAGCCCAATTGGAACACTCTGACTGGCTGGACCTAGGTCAGGTATCCTTCTCTGGAACCAGGATGGGGTGAGCCCCAAGACAATCAGGTGAACTGAACTTGAAAAAAGGGGTGGTTTCCCAAAAAAAAAAGTAGAAGTTCAGCAAAACCATAGATGCTCATGTGGCTGGAAGCAAAGGGAGATGGGAAAACAGATTTTCTCATCTGTTAATAGGGTGTGGGATTATGATCTCACCTCTGAGTGTCAGGATGAGGATTACATGAATTAATGCAGGTGAGACATTTAGTAGACTGCTCAGTAAAAAGTAGGTGCTGGATAAGAGGTAGCTATTATTTAAAAACCAGTAATCAGTATTACTATTACTGATGATGAATGGCGTCTATCTGCTGGGAGGTAATGAGCAACTAGGCTCAGGAGGAAACCAAACTGAAGCTGAGCAATCAGTTCAGTGAAAACTCATGCAATCTACACTATACAAGCTCAGTCCCCTAGTAATTCTTCTCTGGGTTCCTGTTTCCAAATCTATGAAATAGGGTAAGGGGACTGAATGAAACCAGATCATTTTAGAGTGTCACCTCCTTAGAAAAAGGCTTCCCCTGGATTACTCTTACAGTGTGTGCGTGCTCAGTCCCGTCCAACTCTGCGAACCCCACGGACTGTAGCCGGCCAGGCTCCTCTGTGCATGGAATTTTCCAGGCAAGAATACTGGAAACAGGTTGCCATTTCCTACTCCAGGTGAACCTTCCTTACCCAAGGATGGAACCCAAGTCTCTTGCATCAGCAGGAGGATTCTTTTATCACTGAGCCATCTGGGAAGTCCACTTTTACCAAAGCATTCCTCTAATTATAATAGATCCTCCCATTTTATTTTCTTAACTGTGCTTACCACAATCTGAAATCATCTTACGGTCTTTGGTGGGGGGAGGGGCATGCCATATGTCATGCGAAATCTTAAGTTCCCCAACCAGCAATCGAACCCATGCGTCTGAAGTGGAAGAACAGTCTTAACCACTGGACCACCACGGCTGTCCCAAATCATCTTATTTATTCAGTCACCCCCATTAGAATGTCAGCCCCACAACACCAAGGATATTTGAGGTCTGTCTCGTTCACTGCTGTGTCCTCATCACCTAGCATGTTGCCTGGTACACACTAAGACCTTGATAAATACTTGTCCAGTGACTAGCTAGATGCTGTTTATAAAAATATAGGGTGCCTAGTTTTCTGATAGGTAGTGAGTTCTCCATGAAGGGAAGTGCTGGAGGTGAAACTGAACGAGCAGTACCTTGCAATTCATGATGCGAGACCCCCAACCCAGTTCATGTCCGGGCCTCAGTTTCCTCATTTATAAAATGGGTGTGTGGCCAGCCGAGGGTGTGTGTGGGGGGTGGTTTGTGGGAGTGTGTGAACTCCTGGCCCGGCCCTTGCCTGCGATCCCCGCAGGGGCCACCAGGGGGCGCGGTGCCTCTGCCCAAAAGCCGGCCCTCACAGCTCAAGCCCGGGTGGATGCTTCCCGACGGTCCTGGAATATTCTGAGCCGCGCTGGCTTCCAAGCACTCAGGAATCCAGGAGTTTGTGCGGATGGGCGGGTGTCCGCGCTCCTCGCAGGGGGGCGGGCGGTGACTCAGGCGCGCGGCCCCCAGTTCTCGCGAGGGAGCGTGCGCGGCCTCGGGAACTCGCGCGGAGCCGCGTCCATTTTTACCCGAGCGCCGCTAAAAATAGTCCCCGCGCTCGGAGCGGAGCCCGAAATAGCGGCCCCCAGATAAGGCAGGACGACTCAGCGCTTCCGGGGAGCGGAAGGGGGAGGCAGCGGGGGGGGCGAGGGGAGTGGGGCCGGGCTCAGCTGGGCCTCTCCGCGTAGCTGCGGCCGGACGACCGGCCCCCGCCGTCCCTGCGCTGCCCCCAACTGCGACCCCAACCCGCATCTCCCGACCTGTCACCAGCCTCGAATGAGCGCCCTTAGCCCCTCCATCCCCCGCAGTGCCCTGTCTCCTGGTCCCCCACGCCTCAGTTTCCCCTCTGTTCTTCACCCCCTGACCGTTATCCAGCTTCCCCTTCCGTATCCTAGCCTTTATTCTTAACCTTGCCGCCCCTTCCCCAAGTGCCCCGCTCACATTCGTCTCCATCCCTCAGCCCACCCTTCCCGAAGCCCTGTCCCTATTCTCTCTCGCCTTTCAGAATCCCACCCCCAGCTCTCAGCTCCACTTCTATGGGAGTACGATGCGGAGGTCACAGGAAGTCATGCCGGACCAGCCAGGCAGAGGGCTGGGAGTGAGGCTCTGACTTCTTGGCTAGTTTCTGTGGTGGATCGGATAGGCTTAGTTCTGGGTCTTAGCCAGTTTCAGGGCTCATACTGTGCCAAGGGTCAGGGATTCAAGCCTGGGCCAGGGTTGGGGCTCAGACTGGGGACAGAGGCAGGTCTGCTGTCACCAAAGTTGGGGTCTCTGTGTCACCAGTCAGGGCTCAGCCCGGCGCCCCACTGTTGGGCTCACCAAACCCAATTCAACTATGATTCTTCCCTTTCTTGCAAGTCAGGGACACGATAGCCCCAGGCAGTGGGAAGAGCCGAGAACCCTGCTCCCTCTGGGCCTGGGTCTCCCCTTTGCACTTGGATCCTTTGGGGGCACCTTCCTATTCTGATAAACTGCGACTCTTTCAGTGCCTGCTCTCAGAATCAGCCTCAAAGATTTTATACCACGTTCACCTGAGGTTCAATGTCTGCATCTTTCTCGTCTTTGAAATGCCACAGAACAAAAACTGCCCTGTAGAATGATGTCTCGATGAAAATTCAGGCAGAACCCTTCGGCTGTGGATGGAAGGCACGCTCAAGTGCTGTCCCTGACTGTAGTGGACACAGAGCTTTAGGCAGGTGTCTTGATGGTTATGTTGTCTGGATGGGACGTCAACCAGCAGGCAAAGGGACTGGGCTGGAGGATCCTTTAAGGCAAGAAGAATTGTGCAGCTGGACCGAAGAATTAGGCTAGAAAAGTGAGCAAGGACTAGACAACCCTGGGCCCCTTGGGCCATGGTGAGGAGCCTGGACTATTTCCCCCAGGGGCACTGGGAAAGCCATGGCAGGTTCTGAGGAGGGGAAGACACAGGCAGGTTTGAAGACCTTTCTGACTGCTTCCTGGAGGTAGACTGAGGGGAGGAGAGGAGGGGCCTGGACCTAGGGAGGAGTGAGAGGAGAGGAAAGAGCAGATTTGAAAGACAGTCAGAAGGCAAGAAGGGCCAGACTTGGTGGCTGAGAGGCTGGGAGGGGAAAGAGGCAGCCAAGATGCGGCCTGCGTCTCTGCTCAGGAGAGAGTGGGATGGTGGGGTCATCCCTGACATGAGGCCCAAGAGGAGGAAGAGCAGGTGTGGGTAGGGGAGGCCCAGGTAAATTTCAAAGTTAGTCCAAAGAGGGTCATTTTTTGAACTTTAAAAGGGGGGCTTTTAAAAAGTTGAGGGAACATATGTTGGCAAATGGGCTTCCCAGGTGGCGCTAGTAATAAAGAACCCACCTGCCAATGCAGGAGACATAAGGGAGGTGGGTTCCATCCCTGGTTTGGGAAGATCCCCCAGAGGAGGGAATGGCAACCCAACCCCGTATTCTTGCCTGGAGAATCCCATGGGCAGAGGAGCTTGGTAGGCCACAGTCCAGAGGGTCACAGAGTCAGACACAACTGAAGCGAAGCAACTTGGCACACACGCATATTGGCAAATACAAAAGAGTATACTTTGAAAAAGTAAATTTCCCTCCCCCCCCAACCCCCACTTCTCACTACTACCTACATCCCCTGCGCCTTGGCCAGCAGAATTCATTGAGCTCTCACAATGTCCCAGCCTGTGCTCAGCCCATCATAGACGTGACCGCGTCCAAATCACTCATCACCCAGTGTGGAAGCCAGGCCCCACTGCTATACCCATTAAGAGAAGTGGAAACTGAGGCTTTGGAGAAATACGGGAATGTGTCCTTTCAGGGGTCTGGCTGCGAAGGCTCCTCAAACTTGAAGGTATGGGAGCAGATGAGATCAGAGGAACAGGTCCAAAGGGTCGGGGTCCAGAGCCCAAGGACCTGGAGGGGAGTGACGGGGAGTTCAAGGAGGCTGCCTGGAGGAGGAGTGAGGAAAGCTAGAAAGGTGTCTTCCAGAACCTTCTGATGAAGGGTTTGGATGGAAGCAAGTCACTGCCTTTGCGGGGGCTGAGGAGTCCCTGGCAGCAGGGCAGTGCCCCCTCCTCACGCCCCAGAGGTGTTCACAGGGACAGACTGAGGCTTCTTGATGACAACTCAGGGACATGGTGATAGCACTGCCGGCTGTAATGACGTCGGAGTGATTCGCCAACAACCAGCATCTCTAGTCATGCCCTGTGGGGGGCATGAGGATGGGAGGAAGTGACAGGCCACGGGGGTGGGGGCAACAGGGATGCAGTCATTCAGAGACCAGGGGACTCAGGCGCTGAGCCAGTGTGTTCTGCCCCCTACACCAGGGAAGTTTGGGTGGGAGGATCCGTGATTTGGGGCTCTGTTGAGTGAAGAAGGTCTAGTTTCAACCACCTTTGACTGGGATGGAGTAGGTCTGGGCACAGAATCAGGGGCTGCTGGGGTCAGGGATTGCTGTTTTGTTTACGGCTGGGTCCCCATCACCCAGGACGTGACTGGCACAACAGTAGGCGCTCAGTACATATTTGTTGAATGAATGGAATGAAAGGGATCAGCACTCCTTGGATCTCTTGCCTCACAGCCCTGGCCATCAGGCCGCCTCAGCCAGAGGCATTGCTAAGAATACCCTTCCCCACCCAGGGTCTCATCTCAGTCCCCGCTTCCCGATGAGTCGGGGTGAACAAGAAAACGAGTTCTTGCCTGTGATGGACTCCGCCCACATGTGATGTCACAAGCCGCTTGGGGATCCCGATCCCTGTCCCTCCCTTGGGATGGGGCGTGAAAGGAACCCTGGAGTCCTAACTTCCGCCCCTCCCCGGGGCCTGGCGGTATTACATAACCCCGACGTCGCGTCCCCTGAGATGTCTCCGGACGTCCTGGCCAGGCCGGGGACAATGGGCGGGGAGAAGCCCTCCCGCCAGGAACCTGGAAGTGGCAAGGGCACCCTCTCCTCTGATTCACCCTTGTTTCCGTCCCGTTTAAGCCTCCTCCTTCTCCTCAGGGATCCGTATCTCCCCCAAGCTCTCTACCCTCACTTCTTGGTCCCCCCTAAATTTCAGCTTGCCCCGGCCTGCAAATTTGTCTCGGCCTGCAAATATCAGCCCTCTACCCAAACTCCCTGCCCTCACACCAGTCCTTTGTCATTTCTGAATCCCCTAAACGTCTAGTTTCCCACGCCCTTCTTCACTCACCCATGTCGAGGTTGGGGGTAGGGGGTAGGGGGAGCCTGTTCAGGGTCCCTCAAACTATCCCCAACTTCCTACCCGCTCCCCTCGCCCTCCCAATCTCCTCCCGTGGCTTCTCCAAGCTTCCTCCATCACCTCTCTTCCCCAAACCCCTCCCCACCTCCCTCAAACTGACCCCTAATACTTTCTCGTCCCTAATCCCAGCCCCCTTGTCTCCCGAAACTGCCCTAATATCCCTGCTTCATTCCCCTCAAATCGGGTCTCCAATTCCCTCCCGACTCCAGATATCTGCCGGGCTCTCTCGGCCCCAGACCCCCGGCCACCGGCGCCCCTCCCCAGCCCGCTCCCACGCCCGGTTCGGGTTCCCAGGCTGCCCCCCCGCGGTGGCCCAGAGACCCAGTTTGCCGCAGCAAAACATTGGTCTCCGGGCAACAGGCCCCGCCCGCCCCAGGGCTGCCCGCTGCGAGCCCGGCCGCGCCGGGGCCGAGACTGGGCGCGGAGGCGGGGTGGGCGCACCAGGCTGGGGCCTTCGCCTCCCGAGGTCCGCCGGGCGCAGGGACCCGGGGAGACCTCCACGCGGAAGTAGAGATTCTGGGCTCGGGAGTCAGAAACCCCGGGAAATTCGTAGAGTCTGAAGGGAGCTGTCTGGGACTCAGTAATAGAGGCCGCGCAACCAAGTAAAGAAGGAATGAGCCCTGAAATAAACATGGGGATGATGAGGATAAACACAGACAACGCACCGGTCCGCAAGGACGCCACTGAAGGCAGGATAATCGACCTCGGATGGTCCGGGCCTTTGAGCTTCTGTTTTAGGGACTTCCCTCTCTGACTCTTAGTTTCCGTGTTTGTAAAACGGGTAGCGCTTAGCATAGAGGACTGCTGTGACAATAGGGATTCAACGTAAGGATTCAGTGCATTCACCGGCCTAGAACTCGTGGCACACTCCTGGCACGTCATTCATTCGTTCAGCATATTTGTGCCAGGTACTGTGGTAAGTGCTGGCAATTCAACAGTGAACAAGATGAAGGTCCCTGTCCTCCCAGAAGCTCCCACTTTGGGAATGGGGAAGGAGATGATGGGCCTTACATAGCACGTTGGAAAGTAGCAGTGCTGGGGAGGTAGAGAGGAAGGGAGGGTTGAGGCTGCCATTTCAAATAGGGTGGTCAGAGAAGGTCGACATGAGATGGTGATTCTTTGAGCAAAGACTGGAAGTTGGGGAGAAAGGAGCCGTGGAGATATCTGGGTCAAGAGCATCCAGGTCAGAGACAGCAGCAGATGCAAAGGCCTTAAGGTGGGAACATGCCTGGTGTGTTGGAGGAACAGGAGGAGGCTGGTGTGGCTGGAGCAGAGAGAGGGAGGGGAGGGAGAGTGGCAGAGACAAGGAGCCTATGGGCCATGGTGAGGACCTTGACTTTTACTCTGGGTGAGTTAGGTGCCAGGGGAGGGTTTTGAGCAAAAAAGGGACATGAACTGACTTTGATCTAAACAGTATCCGTCCAGCTGTATGTGGGGAATGGGCTTTGGGCGGCCAGAGTGCAGGCAGGCAGACCAGCGAGGCGACCTACGCAATAGTCCAGGCAAGAGGGGATGGCGACTTGGACAAGGGGCAACAGGAATCAGATTCTGGAGATGTTTGAAGGCAGAGCTGCAGAATTTGCTGACAGGCACATTCATGGCAAGCCCTCAATAGATGGCAGCAGTTACCATTTTGTGAAAGAGAACTCAAAATCCTCACACAAGTCCTTATCCTCCCCATTTTACAGATGCAGAAATTGAGGCTCCCAGGGGTCACTAAGCCTGCCTAAGGAGTCAGCTCAGTCTGGCTCCAAAATGGTACCCCTCTATTAGGTTGGCTCTTCCCAAGTCCACAACACCCTCGAAGTCTGGAGTTATACCCAAACTTATACACGTGGGCCCCAGGACTCCTGGAGCTATATCCTTATTAGCCGCACCCAGTGGGCGTAGAAAGTGGTGGCCTGACAGAGAAAGCTGTCTGACTGGTGTTCCAGTTGTCAGGTAGTCACCCATGCTGGCCCGGGACACTGACTTAAAGGCAGGCAGGTACATGTAGAGAGGGTCCACCCAGAACCTCCCAGCCCATCATCTGCTTCCCACACTCAGCCCCAACACTGGACCCGGCACACCCCAGTGCTGCCTGCAGCGACCTGTTGAATACAGTCACACACTCGCACACAGGTAGGTACGTGGCCCTCCACCGTGAAGGTGCATTTTCAGGCAGTGTGCATAAAATGCAATTTCTGGCTTTATCTCTCTGTTTCCGTATCTCTCTGCCTCTATCTTTTTGTCTCTGTCTATGTCTTGCTATCTGTCTCTCTCTGCACCGTGACCCCCTGCTCTGTCCACACTCAGGACCCTCTACCTGCAGGGGAAATCACTCTTGTCCCTGGCCATGTCTCCACGGAACCTCACCTATTATATGGCATCAGAACTTTGCATCAGCCAACAGGAACCTATGTACCACACCGAGAACCATACCCAATATTTTGTAACAATCTATAAGGGAAAAGAATGTGAAAAAAAGTATATAAACGTGTATATATATGTATATAAACAGGTATATATACACACACACACATATAATTGAATCA